ATCTCCGATAGTGGTGAGGGAAGGGACAGTGCCTGCAATAAGACAAGAGGAACGAGGGATGTCACAAATAGCAGCTGGAAATGTTCCGGAAACGCATGCCCGCTTGTGTAATTGCACAAACAGGGGCAGTCGTCGACGGATATCCTTTACACAATTCTGTAAGCATAGCCTCGTTATGCTCTTTTCACATACGAAATGGAAGGCAAACATAGTTTTCTTTCTAACGTCATTACATTTTAGGTTAATCAAAGAACGCTGGAGAGACTCGATATTCTAGTGCATAAGGAGTTTGCGACTCTGCCGCTTGAAGCAGGAGGCACTGTCCAAGGCGAACGTCAAGAAGAACAGCAAAACTCCGAGGCAGTCTTTGCGCATGCCGAGGTTCTGTCATCTTCTTCGTAAATTCTCCGTTGTTCAATCGTACAGCCATTCCACTATATGTGACTAACCTAAGAAACGTGCCTCATTCTAAAGAACTCTTAATGGGTAGAAGATACATCAGAATAACTTGTTAGGTTTCGAAGAAGTGCCGTTCCCGCAAAAAAGTTCCTTAAAAGATTTTGGTGACATTGATGCAGTTTCTTATCTTTTTTAATGATTGGAATTCAGCTGCAACTCAGCTAACAGTTTTTGAATCATTAAAGTCGGCAATTTATGTTAAGCTAGTATGGTGAAATTTTGTAATCTTTCTGGACTTTTACAATTTGTGAGCTATGAATAGAGGAAACATGATAGGATAAAAATCTTATTATAGATGTTTTCCATCACCCTTAGCAATTCTGCAACTTGTCTTTTCAAAAGAAAGAATTTGCCAAAAGCCTGCTAATTTGAATTAGGCGTGTAGCGCTGGTCAGCCAGAAAAACTAGCAGTCTTCTGGAGGATATCTGTTCAACTTGCTAACATAATTAATAAAAAGGACAGGGCTTGCCAAGCCAAGAAGTTCTATTTAATTTTCGAAAAAATTTCGATTTCAACAACAACTCCCTTTGACTCTTTTTGGTCCCTCTTATCTCCACTTGGTTTTGCCCT